GTGACAGGTGTACAGATCGTGGATCACGCTCACGACAGGAGCAACGTCATCAATAAGTTAATCCGGGAGCGTGACGCATATCCTGATGGCCTGAAAACAACGAACTCGAATGACACATGGCATGGTAAGAAAACACAAACCAAAGGTCAAACCAAAGAGGCTTGAAAAAAGATATAATAAAAAAATTGATCTTAGCCTCCTTGGTCAAACCAGGTTTGATTCAATTTTTAATGCTTTCAGTTCTTTTCCAACTTGAAATTGCTGGTAACTAACTTTCTACTTGTATGATTGTTTGGCAGGGAAATGTTTTGTTACAGGGTGAGTGAGTGAGTGAGTGGGCTACTAGTAATAAAGTTGTGTTATTCTTCCGATACTATGGCAACCTTTGTACTCTCAGTAGTTCATGACATAAATGACATATATTTCTACTATATCAATCTCAGCTACCAAGGCCATTGCCCGTAAGTTCAAGAAGGTTTCGAGTGGGCCCAGGAGGAGCGAGGGCGTCACCTGGCACGCCCAGCTTGCTGATAAAGGTATGTATTGCTGTTTACCAGTTTGAGTGGGAAAGCTTATTTGCAACTGCAACGTTTTAGGAGAATAAATTTTGATGTCTGAATATGTGAAGAAACACTACATAACGTACTGAATACCTATCTGGGAATATGTAAGAGATACAGGGGTGACACCTCAGTCTCTGGGAAGTGCACATAAATTTGTGATACATGTAATTCAAGGTACAGTACAATTTTACCTACAGGTGCACCGGTCAAGACGCACTTTTATTGGTGCATGGCCAGGTGTGGCGGCAGTGTGCAGGTGCTGCGAGACTCCCTGCTAAACATTGTAGACCACTACCAGGTGAGTCCAACTCGTGTATCTGTGGAGAATCAACAATAGGAATTGATATATGTAATGACATTGAAATAGGACTTGTGATAACCCATCTGTGACTATGAATTTTTGCAGAATAATGCAGAACAATGAAGTACTATTAATTGCTTGGTAACAGCAGCCGAATAAAGTCTAGGTTCCTTTACATGTATTTGTGTTACAAAACAACTTTTTATGAACAACCCTCATACAAATGTCAAGATTGTGACAGGGTTGCGAAGATTATGTGTGTCTGTGGAGGTTCAGTGAGAACCTTGAATTTAGCAAGAAGTTGTTGGCTTAGTTAGTTATATGCCATTTGTATGTCAACAGAACCAGCACCAAAACTGTCATCCAGAGTCAAGATGTCGGCGTGACCCACACTACAGACCAACCAAACTGATCCTAACTGCCCAGCGGGCCGTCGATCTGCTACGAAGTTTCATCATCGCGCAAGACGTGTACAAACACGCTCCGGACTATGTGCTGGTAAGGTGATCAATGTCTTCCTTGGAGTAGACCTGAGGAGATCATGGGAGGGCAGTCCATTTTCACACATGCCTCTAGCTCTAATCACAACCAAGTGAATAATTACATTGTAGGTTGTGTGAAAGAATTGCTATGCCTGCTGCTTTTTATCTAATATTAAGATTTTACTCTAGATACAGTAGTAACAATGAAAGAAACATGACTTACTTTGTGCTGTTGTTAATGTGTCTGATAGGGGCATGTCACCACTTCATCAAGTCTTGGCCAGACTTTCATTTCAAAATGACCATGACCTTTTAATTGCTACCAACAGACTTCCATGAAGTGATAACAGAAATGTCTTTTATATTTCAGGTGTCAGTGTACTTGTTTAGTAGACTTAGTATAGATAGCTGTACCTGGTTCTCTCTGTACTGGGACTACGTAGATTTGATATGCCGCACTTTGTCTTCAGTCATCCGCCCTTGACATGGGGTTCCTGCGGTTAAAAAGTTTCGAAGAATTGAGATATGTTCAGAACAAGTGGTATACATGTACAATGTACAAACATACATACAATGAAAAACACAACTTACAACATAATTTGGAGCAAAATGACTGAGATAACACGAATATAACCAGAGGAATCATGCTGTTGAATATGGTTTCACTTGTTTTAGGTGCAACTTTCTTGGCTAAAGTGAGTAACTGCATTTTTTTCCTACCGTTTCAGTGCCGCGACACATTGTATGTCGAGTCGTTTAATAACGCTTGCTTACAATACCTCGACAAACGCATCTTCTTTCGCACCATGAACTATGGACTACGGATGGGCCTCGCCATCCTTGACTGGGTATGTATATGTCAGGATAGATATATCTCAATTATAGTGTCTGTCACGGAAACTCTGATCGGAGTCTCGGCCAGTGGAGATCCTGATCAGAGTTTGTAATTCATGTTCAGTACCATACAAGTACAGCAATAAAATATATTTAGGTTTTATGACGATAATGGATTTTAGTAGCCACCAGTAATCTATAGGACATGTCGGGCAATGTTAATTTATAGCAAATTAAATAGACCTCTTCCCCTCACCACTGGTATAGAATTGGCAATTCTGATGTAAGGTAAAGGAAATGATGGTCAAATTGAAATAAGACACCAGTACTTTGTAATATGGAAAACAAAACTTTGCAGTAACAGAGATGTGGAGCAAATTTTATATTATGCAAAAAAATGTGCAAGGTCTATGAAAATTTTAACTGCAATGGTACCTTTTCCAGAACGAGCATGTAGACAGGGACGCCACATCCCGCTACCTACGCTACAGTGTGGCAAACCCAAGGCAGAACGAGGGGAAGAGGGTCCTGGTAGCCAAAACTAACCACTTCCTGGCCGACATCCTGGCAACATTCGTGAGGAGAGTGCGGGACAGGGGAGATCTGCCACCCCTCCCACCAGCCAGGCGCAGGCAAGACATCCAACAGGAAGACGGGGCCAGGGTATCCGATGACGACAGCGCAAGTGGCTATTCTTCGTCCTCTGATGAGGAGTAGTGCCTTCTGCATAACATAATGAGACATGTTGAAAACACCCCTGTAAATATTGTTGATAGAAGGTCTCAAGTCTGCTGTCTTACAGTGTCTGTGCAGTGATCCAGACTTTACTCCCGTATGTCAGTGTTTTGATGACTACTGCCTCATACTAGTCATACTAGTATACGATCATATGTGTTCTGTTCATACAATGTATACGAGGCTGAGGTACATGTAAATATAGGAACTACTGTTGGGTTGAATGTACATGTCACATGTATTGCTTATAATGTACAGTACAACTACAAGTTATATGAGTGTTATTTGTCATGTGTTTGGTACATGTTGGAAACACTTCATGTACAGATTCTGCTGTAAATATTGTTGATAGAAGGTCTCAAGTCTGCTGTCTTACAGTGTCTGTGCAGTGATCCAGACTTTACTCCCGTATGTCAGTGTTTTGATGAGTACTTCCTCACAGTCATATACTAGTAGTAGTATACGATCATATGTGTTCTGTTCATTTATGACTAATATGAGGTTGAAGTACATGTAAATATGGGAACTACTGTTGGTTTGAATGTACATGTCACATGTATATGTACAGTACAACTACAAGTTATATATATTATTATGAGTGTTATTTTTCACATTCTCTATAGCCAAGTGTGCAGCAGACAAAGCACCTGATCACCAGATCTTGAAATATGAGAAAATCCCTTGTGCAATCATGGAGTAACGATTGTGTTTCTACCTCCATGGTGCAATTAAAAACTTGCCTGGCACACCTAAAATCTACCTCGAGTCTATGCTGTTTGGAATGCTGGCCAGAAAATTGTAATGTACCAGATAGAGTACTGCATAGATTCAAAAACAAACATGGCAGCCATACAAACTGGTAAGGGCCGGAGGAATAGACTGCTTCAACAGGAGTCCGAGAACACTAAGTGTTCCATATAGCAGGTAGGTGGCCAACACCAACTTGTTCCAAATTATCAAAACACCCCCACCCCAAACACACACACACAAACGTTACAAGTTGGCGTCATATATACGAAATTTACAGCAAAACGCTACGGGAAATCTCTTCAGAATTCTTTCAAAAATATATCCATTCCGCTTACGAGACCGGGAGTGCTTGAAACCGGTAGTAGTAGGGGCTCGATAAAAATTTACACAACTTCAACGGCGGGTGAACAGCAAAGTTCGAATCCAAGTTCCAACGAAAACAAAATGCCCCCCTCCCCCTCCTCGTCTGTGACAAGTTGGCCCTGCAATTTTCTTACGAAGTTCGAGGCCAAAATTTCCAGTTCTGTCCTGAAAAAAATAGCATCCCTTGTAAAAATACCAAATACGGGGTGAGTCAAACAAGTAGCGACAAGATAGTGATAAAAGTAACACCGCTTCAAGGCCCTTCATGACGTTATTTGTTTTTACGTAAACAGCACACTAAACATGTAAATTCTGTAGCGTAACTTGACATAGTTTTTTACTTACCTCTGCCTGGGTGGTTTCAGCAAGGAGGCCTCCTTGGTTTCAGCTCCCACACATGTACACAGCGTGTTTCAACTTCCATGACTTGAAATATTTACGGCGAACCTTTTTTGTACGATCGAACAAAATTTATTTATCGCATAAATAATTTTGAAGCGGTTGCCTCGACCGTTATAAGGCGATGCGGTTCCTTGTGAGTGGAAAAAAACACATCCCAGTATGGACACGCGGAAACATACTTGCGTTTGCACGGGTATGCTTTAGTTTCGACGATCTTTTTCACGGCCAACATGGCCAAGAGCCCACGCAAAATATCTCGTCTGTACCCAAAATGGCGGCGCACTAACACATGTGCCACGGGATTGTTTACATTCTGGTCACGTACTGCGATCACGTGATCCAGCGCGGCGCCAGCCTTGTCGGGCGCGCGTGTGTCGCGGCGCTTCCTGTGGAGTTGTCAATCGGTTTATTGAGTCCGAGTCAATTCAGACCGATACATCACAGTTGGGAAACTTTTATTTTATGGTCGAGGACCCAGGGTTCTCATTTGCGGTCTTTAAGCACTTCATTTCGAAACCTTAAGTTTGAATATTCTGTATTTTTTTAAATCTATAGCCACTGTCATTGCAGAATTGACCGAGCTAACGAGATGACATACCGGGACTTTGCAAAGGAGGCGAGCCTGCTGATGGAGGTCAACAATGACGGGGGTCACGTGAACATCGTCAGTCTGGTTGGACTGGTGGTGGATGGAGTAAAGAAGAAAGGTACACCATTCAGAACCTTTTCTCAACTTTATTAATGTATACATCAGATTTTACACAACATCATGACTAATACATATGAACTGGTCACAACTTATTTTAAATAAGCCATACCCAGGCCTTTCCGCGGGAATACGGATAGTAGAATTTGGCAAAAAAAGAGAGTGAAATTGGCCAAGGGAGTCCGGCCGCGGGGAGGTAGTATCTTTTCCTCCGAGACGAGACCAATCAACCCTAAAGGTGGCCAAACTCCCCTGGCATAAAAATTTATCCTATATATAGCCAGCGTAATTAGTCTAGTAGATACTAGTCACAACTAGTACACGGTATATTAAACATAAGTCTTGATAAATTTGACATTCTTGTTCAATAATAAATGATATATATATATATATATATATTTATATACATCTATGTGAAACTTTTAGTTTCAGAGTACATGTTATAAACGGATTGTGCACATTGTGTTTTCAATTTTTTAACGATGCATGTTTCAAAACTCAACAGGGAAATTCATGAATTAATTTAGAATTTCAACATTACTGCAATACGTAACGACAAATCTTTTTGGCTCAGAACCAAGAGGTCGCGAGTTAGAATACTTTGCCACCGATGTTCTGCCCTTGGGAAAGAACTATTTGCTCAAAAAACTCTGGTGAAAATGAGTATTCGCTTGTCCTCTGCATTGGTGGCATAAAGATAAGTTGGATAAAATTGTGTTCCATGTCTTGTGATGATTGTTTGCAAAGTTTACGTAACCTTACGTTAGTTGGTAATGACGATGAAGAATATCTTACTACAACGTCTACAAAAGATGTAAATCCTCCCCTGTCAGATCCACGGTACATTCTTGTCGAGTACGCCGAGCCAGGAGAGTTACTCTGGTACCTGGTGAACGTTCAGAACAACCGGCATCAGGCTGGCTTTCCGCCGGGCTTAGGACGACAACTCACCGAGGTGGCCATCGACATTGTCCGAGGGATGATCGAGTTAGAACGCCGTCGGGTATTCTAGTTTTTTTTATTAACCACATCATTTCTATTCAAATATTCTATTCTTGAATTTCGTTTGAGTGGTTTAATGGCCAAGTGGGAATAGTTTTTGCTTTAAACTCGATCCCCGGCTGATTCATACTCAAATTCTTTTAAAAAACGGTAAATTCTGCTTTCTCTGCTTGGCACTCAGTGTTTTTTACCTTCACCAAGAAGTTTTTTTTAGAGGCGTTCGTGTATGTGTATGTGTGTGTGTGTGTGTGTGTGTGTGTGTGTGTGTGTGTGTGTGTGCGTGTGTGTGTGTGTGTGTGTGTGTGTGTGTGTGTGTGTGAGTGTAGACACGATAACTTCAGAAGGCTTTAATGGATGGTCTTGATATTTAGAAGGTCGGTAGATCTTTCTTAGACCTCAAATTGCTTAGATTTTGGGTCACCTGGCGGCTTGTCATGGTACTGCAGCGGAACTTCATGTTTAGATATCTCATGATCTGGACATGCTAGGGTCACGACATTTAGATGATAGATAGGGCTCCTGCTGGGAATGGAGTGACATGAGGTTGAATTCCCTGGCTGCTTGCTCTGGAACTGCAGGGGCGTTTATTTAAAATGTTTAAAGGAGGATAACTCAAGAACCGATTGATGGATGGTCATGATTTTTGGTAAGTAGGTAGCATAAGTGATGCTTGACATAATGGTATTACAATTATGCAACACTGACAGAGACCTTTGACAAGTCTCTTCTCCGTTCCGGACAGCTTCAACATATCCTACCACCAACCAGAGGAACCGTCAGTGGCCGTCAGACCCGTTCATCACATAAACTGAACCATTTGTACGGTCGTACTGAACGGTACACGAACAGTGCCCTACCTTACATGATTGAACTGTTGAACCACAGTGACACTTTATACTACCGTTGACCATTTGTACTACCTGTTGACAATCCGTTTCGAATAGTAATACAGTAGTTGCGCTGACATTGGTTTTTAACCTGTCGCAGTATTATCCTCTGATACAATGCTGTATAGAACTTTTTAAACTTCATATCTTTATGCAAATGTGTTCTAATCATGCCTCCACCCGAAGTGCAAGTGTACGTTTAATATGTAAATACGTTTTAAGCATGTATATATTCGAATTGTTATGCCTGTTGATGTAAATATGTTTTTAATCATGACTTGAATTGTAAATGTGGTAACGCAATTCAGCCGTTTTGGCTGCAAAGTTTGTGGCATGGGTTTTGAACTAAATAAATCATTTATCATGATGTGATTTGCATAATTTATGAGGAAAATAAATCAGCTGCATTCGATAATAGGACCATTTAAGCTTGTGGCATGCAATTAAGAACGAGAGAAACACAGGCAGATATCGATTATGCAAATAACGACCTCATTTGCATAATTTATGAGAAATGCTAGAATGGCATTCTTCGTTAAGATAAGACTGTCCTTTGGTGTAGAATATGATCAACAGGTACAATTTAGGATCCTATTTGCATGATCACAGGGATTAATAATTCCTGAGTCATAAACGGCTAATATCATTTGGCAAAGGAATGAGATCCTGAAACTCTAGATATTGCATATATGACACACACCGCTACCAGTGGAGTTATAGTACAAAATATCAACTCATTTACTCTTTTCAAAATGCAGATAAAGCAAAATGTATAATTGTTTTTAGAAAGAAACATGTCTAGTCATACTCAGTATTTGGGAAGGAGTGTTGCAGTAAAATCATTACATGTAGAGTGTTGTAGTGGACTAGACCCCTGCTGTAGTGATTGTACAACTGTGTGGCCCAACGGCTACATGTACACAAACAGAGATGGGCGCCGAAATATGCATCATAAGTGCGAGAAAGAACGTAAGCTTTATCTTTTAACTGGTTTGCATAAAGATTAAGGAAACCCAACAATTATCTTAGTTTTGACTGTTCCCAACAGATCACCCACCGTGACCTGGCGTGTAGAAACATCGTCCTGTGTTCTCCTGACGGACAGGCCGGCCGGCTGGTCGCTAAAATCTCCGACTTCGGACTGGCCCGTGACGTGTACGTGACGACACAGTACATGAGGCATCCTCTGGTAGGTGTCCCTTATCGTTCACCCCTTAAACGGGCATTATGTAACTTTTTACGCAAAAATTTGAAATCTTCTGATTATACTAAATTTTAGTCTTATGGATAGTTTAGTTACTATCACTTTTCAACACATTTGTGTCTTTATTTCACATTAACGTATATTTTGTGCGTCCAAACAGTCCTTGTTCAGTTCCCAGTGGCACCGATTTGGCCTCAGGACAACAACAACAACAACAACATACAGTGGTTGGCCCCCTAGGGAGGTTAATGAGTTGGAAATACCAGGCCACAGGGGCATGTCACAAGATTAGCTTTTTGGAAACACTTATATCTTTCATACAAGGTGGAATATAATTATGAACTTTTTTGTTGGGCATCAGAGGTTGGAATAGAAGATCATTCAGTTTTCTATCATGCTTATATCGAGCAAAGATGTTGCATGTTCTATTGCTGAATATTGTTCTGGGATACTAATGGGTTAAGTGAACTTACTACGCAAGGAAAAGATTGGAAATATACTTTTTGTATTGTTAAAAAGTTACCTAATGCCCCTTTAAGGTCGTGAATTTTTCATGGATTTCCTTAAAATTGTGATGTCGCAGAACTAACTTGTGACAAGCTTTTACAGTCACTCACGTAACAAGACCCCTTGGATTTTCTGCAAGAAATATTAAAGACTTAGAATCCTATGAAAGCCCACTGATTACCATTGTACGACAATAGTACGACGTACGGCCTTAAGTTCTAGAATCCATTCCTAATGAAAAAAGCACACACTTCATTCATGATCAGTAGGTAAACGTTACGTAGCATTTGTACCCAATAAGTACCCAATGCAGACCCACGATTCAACATTACCAGGGATGTCCTTGACAAACATGCAATGTCAAAGTCTAAGACTTGAAAAAGTCTTAAACAAACAATTCCTCATTTCGTTCCCATTTCTAACATGTTATGTTTCGTGATAGACAAATATGCTGCTTCCAATAAAGTGGATGGCAATAGAGTCCCTGATTGAGGGTGTGTACAGCTGCAAAAGTGACATGTGGGGATTCGGAGTCGTGCTGTGGGAGATGGCGACTTTGGGTGAGTGCCCTTTGTAAGATTTTAAAATACGTTAACTTTGTTAAAGTACAGTTGGTCAAATGAAAGAACACTTTGACAGGCTTTTGTGTGTTTTTTCAACAATGTAACATCGCTACAAAATAATCCAAACGTACCCACCAACTAATAACAAGAAGTTAGAATTGTCAAATTTCTGAAAAGTAGTTCTAATTGACACTCCAGTTCACCCCATTTCTTGTTTCTGACCTTTTGTCCTCTGGTAATTCTGTCAACTTGAAGTCATATGCTCACAATCTACGTTCATGCTCATCATTTACCTGTGTCGCATATTTTCACCTGTGATTCTGCATGCCAATCCCCATTTAACCCCACCCATGTGCCGTCAACCGAGCTATTCTGTCCGGAGAAAGATGCCTCGGTGTCCCAAAACAAGACTTCCCAAGACGCCACGGTAACTCTTATTACGTACGAGTAGCTTCAGATGAACACAATTTGCCTTTAGGACTACATTTGTATGTGATAACAACAAGTTTTATCTTTTGGCGATGTAAATTCCAGGAGGAACACCTTATCCCGAGGTTTATGGTTACGAGACTCTGGTAACAAGGCTCCGCCGAGGGTACCGCCTGCAGAAACCTAACGGATGTTCAGACGAGCTGTAAGTAAAATGTCAACCATGATTTCTTGCTTATTTATGACTTCACCACCTAGTGGTGAAGTCATATTGTTTTTGCTCACGTTTCTTCTTCTTCTTCTTCTCCTCCTGCCATTTCTTTAAATTGATTCAACTCCTTAATTTTTGGGCCAAATAACATGAATTTTAGCATGAAGGTACAGTGGCCAAATACCCCCAGGCGTTTTTTTTTCATTTTCTTGATACAGACTTTTAGAAGCTTTTAGAATGGTTTTATTTGGACTTTTTGTTTGTGTTATAGGTAATGTACTGTAGCAGTGTGTTGCCAAGATTGGAGTGCGACCATATTTGGGCATAGGGCCAATGCCCAAATATGGGCAGCAGGTGCACCCTGTTTGGAGATCTGGTCGCTGATTGGCTGTTCCCTTAATTACTTTACTGCTAAATGAACACCTGTGTAGGCTTCCACATACTTACAATAGGAATAGTTCCTTTGTTTTTTTACAAGTATTAGCCAGGAAAAGACGTCTTTTGGGTTGTAAATCAATAGAAACATGTCATATAACCTACATTTCTATATACCTTTATATTTTTAAAACCAAATTTTAAAATCTTTTAACCAAATAATCTGCTTTTCTCTATTCTTCTTGCTGATTGGCTGTTGAGATCTAATTGGGTTAACTGTATTAACATCTGCACATAGCCCTACCATATTGACAGTATTGAACTGAATTCGAGTGTTTTGGGGTAGATATGTACCTTCCTTCTCAAGCATTGGAATGTGGGACATGAACGCTTTTTTTTAATCTTGAAAATCAACAGTTAGCATTATGCAAATAATCCTAACCAATAATGTAGGGGATAGCTATCCAATTGTTGCATTCTTAGTTATATGTCACTTTATACTATATTAATATCAAGAATTGTTTTCCCTTGCATTTCTCCTTCTTTCCCTGCCATGTCGTGAAATGTGGTGATGCCATGCTACATTTGCTCCAAAGCAGATGTTGGCCTTTCTAGTTTAAGAATTTTTATGTTTAAAGCATTATCATGATTGTACCATTCTCGACACATGTAGGTACGAAGTGATGAAGCTATGCTGGCAGGATGACCCGGATGTAAGACCCACTCCTGACGTGATGGAGGACAGGCTAGAACAGCTGATGGAACAAGACAGGGTGGGGCACTTGTGTTTATATATGACAATGACAATAACAATGACGTTTATTGCATATCCATGCCCCATTGGGGCTAAATGCACTCTTAAGTTACAAAAATGATTAGGCAAACTACATGTACACGTGTATGCTATGTTTCTTCTCTCTTCTTTAGACATTTGTATATGAATTTACAGAGTTTTTCTAATACAGCATGGTTAACTGAAAATAATATTTGTATGAATATATCATCCTTTGTTAGATGCGCCAAGTTTTGGTCTAATTGTATTTCAACAACAAAGGTAGATGGTAGATTGCTTTACAGTAGACACTCAAAAATAAAGTGGACTTCATTTTCTAGAGTATTCATATCACATAATGTACATAACCTATCATTAATGGAAGTTCGGTTGTATCTACCTGTTTCAATTTGTAGAGGACCAAGATGTCTTTCAGTCTGGATTGATAATATGTGCCAGGTCGGCTGGATGTGCGACAGGGCTTTATGGACAGGGTCAGGCATGGTTTTGAATTGCCTCCGCTTGTAAAAGATTTAATAGACACTTGATATGCATGGACTATCCAGACTGTCTGAACGAAAAAGGCGAATAATGTTTTTTTTTGTGCTCTTAAATGTTTGGGTAATAACTCACCTCTTTAGGCAACAGCAAGTAACTTTTATGGATGACATCGATATTTCAGCGCGGGCATTAATTTTCGGCTGATTTTGGAAAAGAAAAAAGAAATTTTGTTGCCTTCTGAGAGTGGTCATCATGTATACATGTAGAAAACGGACAAAGATGTCGGAAGGTAGATGGCAAATAACTATGAAGCGAGGAGAGAAGAAAAGGCTCTGGATTAATATTTTGTTTCTTACTTTGATGCAGTGATATGTGATGCCGGCTGTGTATATGTGATGTTCCCACTGAATCAAATCATCTTTACACTGATTGAGTCAAATTTTTAAAAGTAGGAACCTTGTTTTTTTTTTTTCGACCCGCCTTGTTTTTTTACGCCTGCTTACATTAGATTTGGAATCTATAAAACCTACTGTGCTGTGCTATAGAATTGTTAGTTCCGACCCTCAGTTCACCTCTTTATTATGATGTGTCCACCACTATGATATTTTTCATGATTTTTGCAGGCCTTATTCCCGGAGACCTAGGACACGACTACAATCACACATTCTTGGATTATAATTGATGAAAAAAATCTAGGAAAAAGTAAAGTAAAATAAACACAATGACTGCGGAGAGGAACTGGCTGTTGGCCCTACGCCCAACACCAGGTGACGCCAATATCCAATCAAGGAGAGATTCGTGCAACGCCATTTGGCCATTCTGTACTGGAGCAGTGCCGACTAGCGGATGGTGGTGGTAAAGCAGAAGGGGACCAAGTGGACTTGAAGTTTGGGCGAAGATACGATGGAGACGGGAGATTTTTGCGGTGGCGAAAACAACAGCAGGGAAAAGGATAAGTTCAGTGGGCATGGTAAAAACGTAGCGTAAAACTCAGCAATGTTTCATTTACATGGATATCACTACATAAATCGTACTCCAGAAATTCTACTACAATATCAACTGCACTAGAAAAGAAATGGCCAACAAATTTTCCATATGTGTACATCACTGTTTCTGTATATGGTATATATGTGGTGAGAGTTAAGTTCATAAACAAAGAATCACAGTATTGATGTATATTGACCATTGTTTCTATTATGACTTCACCACCTCGTGGTGATGTCATATTGTTTTTGCTGACGTTTCTTCTTCTCCTTCTTCTCCTCCTGCCATTTCTTTAAAATGATTCAACCCCTTCATTTTGGGGCCAAATAACATGAAATTTAGCATGAAGATACAGTGGCAAAATACCCCCAGTCGTTGTTTTTTCATTTTCTTGATACAGACTCGTAGAATGGTTTTATTTGGACTTTTTGTTTGTGTTATAGGTAATGTACTGTAGCAGTGTGTGTTGCCAAGATTGTAGCGTGACCATATTTGGGCATAGGGCCAATGCCCAAATATGGGAAGCAGGTGCACCCTGTTTGGAGATCTGGTCTCTGATTGGCTGTTCCCTTAATTACTTTACTGCTGAATGAACCATATACAGAAACAGTGATGTACACCAGACTTCTACATACTTATAATAGGAATAGTTACTTTGTTTTTTTACAAGTATTAGCCAGGAAAAGAAGTCTTTTGGGTTGTAAATCGGTAGAAACATGTCATATAACCTACATTTCTATATACCTTGCTATTTTTTTAACCAAATTTTAAAATATTTTAACCACTTAAGCTGCTTTCCTCTATTCTTCTTGCTGATTGGCTGTTGAGATCTAGTTGGGTTAACTGTATTAACAGCTGCACATAGCCATACCATATTGACAGTATTGAACTGTATTTAAGTGTTTTGGGGTAAATATGTAAAACTTTCCTTCTCAAGCATTGGAATGTGGAACATAAACGCTTTTTTTATCTTGAAAATCAACAGCATTATGAAAATAAATCCTAACTAATAATGTAGGCGATAGCTATCCAACTGTTGCATTCTTATTTATATGTCACAGACTTCATACTATATTTATATCAATATAAAGCATTGTTTTCCCTTGTATTTCTCGTTCTTTCCCTGCCATGTCGTGAAACTTGGTGAAGTCATGCTACATCTGCTCCAAAGCAGATGCTGGCCTTTCTAGTTCTCTACGTTTTGTAAGAGAATACAAAACTTTCATATCAAGTCAATAATTTCAAGGGGACTTCTGATATCATTTCCTTGCCAGTTTCCTAGTATTCATATTAAACTTAGTGCTACATCACAAAAGGTAAAAAAAGCAATACAATAGAAAAACAAGTCCTGAGAATATAACAGTATGTACTCTAAGCCTGCAAAATGACCAACTGCTTTAGTCTTTGTGAAATGAGTATTTCATGAACAAACAAAATCAAACTAAACATACTACCGTTGATATATAAGTTTGTGCAGCAAATAAAATTAATACAATAATTTTGTCCCCATCTTGTAATTGTGTACAGTTTTCCATATCAATGTTTCACTGGTGCTCATGTAAACTAAACATTCTTACCATGCTTTAGAATTTCCTAAGATTTTCATGTAGATCAATAAACAAAGGCATCCATATGTACAATGTATCTATTACATTACAGTACAGTACAGATCTAACAAGAGTTCCGAGATCTCATACCTCCATGAAATATGGGCTTGCTTTATGGTTCCGGGTCGGAGTTTATATCTGACCAGAGTCTAAGTAAGTGCGCAGTAAATCGCCGGAAACGTGACTTTGTATGGTATGTTTTGGCCGCGATATCCCAAAAATCGTAATATCTGTGTACATCTTTGTATTTCCTGAAAAGCCTGTTAGTTGTAGCCTTTATAGGTGGCATAATGTTGGTGGTCCAGCGACGACTTCCTGGTATCAGTCCGCGCGGATGGTTATGTGGCCTTTTCGCCTGACCGCCGGGATGGTACGTTCTATATGCGTTGTGGGTGTGTTCGGGCCATCGAAGATAGCGATAAACTTTTCGCATCGATTTTAATTAAATTCAAATTTTGGAAACATTAGGTTCTGAGCTTCTTCGAGTACTAAGCCGTTACCCTGGGAAAATTCTTTTTTTCCGTGCAGCCATGGTTAAAAATGACGAAAAAAATGACCCCTGTTTTAAAAATGTACTTTGATGTGCCTTACTTACCCCTAAATAAATTGGGCGCAGAACATATCAATCAAGTGTATTTATAAGCGGCACGGCACCCCTTTCCACCAAAAGAGTGAAAAATTCCGACAGAAATGACAGCCCGTCGTGCCGAGGATGTCAAATTGCTCGAAATACGGAAGGAAACTCCGGTCCGAGACCTTATCATACTTCATTTCAACATGTCCTCAATAATTATACAAATGACCTCGACATTAAGATAATATATGTATAGTGGTGTTAACCTTCAATTAACTTACACATGTCACGAGGTATAAAATTCCCATTATTCACCAATAATGAGTAACAGAATCTTCATATTAATTATCTAAATTAGGTCATAATTTGCATAATTGGTATCTGTTGACTGCCACAGATTAAATAGATTACATGTATAGTACTTAGAGCCAATAGGGACCATTCTGCAGTGATTTGTAGCGATTATGTTATGTTCAACTTTGTATAAAGTTCTTTAATTTCATTTGATGTTTCCTTTTGACTCCGACTTGGATGTATGTTTCTATGATTTCTGTACCCATGTTTATGTTCATGTTTATGTTTGGGTGTCTTATAAGCCTATATGGGCTAGGCGACATTCATTCATTCATTCATTCATTTATTCATTTATTGTACTAGAGTGGAATTTAGGGCACTCTATTCCCTCCACATGTAGTTTTTTTTCAATATGACATTTCCACAATGCAGTACATTATCCTGCACCGCATATTTACAAAATACACCACATAGATATAACGTTATTTTAATAAGCATTACAGGCCATCGTGCCCAATTGCAAGCTCGTCTAGTGTTTAATGATGCCGTTTGTGAACCAGAAGTCCCGGTTTCTAATCCCAGCCAAGGCGTCGGTATTCTGCTTACCGATTTGCGTGTAGGTTTAAGGAAGTTATCGATAGAAGTAGTAGCTTCGTACCCAGCCTCTCCCAGGGCTTCAGGGAAGCTCCCGCGGCCCACTGCATATGTAAGCACTGCAGCCGCCTGGAAGATGAGCCCGTCCCGGTGATTTTGTCCTGCTGGGAAACAGTCCGAGCCAGTCCCAGGCAGGCCAAATCACTTGGGCAGGCGGCTCTAGTGCATGAATCCCTGGGTATGTGTCCCGGTTATGAAGTTAAAAGCCAGCAGCACACAAACACTAGCACAGACCGACAGACCACACGGTATATATGGTATGCCTTTTAATGTAGGGGCACCATGGCATCAACCTAGGTACAGTAGTCTGCGCACTGAATACCAAGTGGGGACCATGACATATTGCCATTGTCAATGGACTACACACAGTACAGAGTACATATGGTATGCCTCCAGGGCTTCCCTAAGGGGGATTCGGAGACCAAATCACAACAGATAGCTATAGATGAAAGCAAAGAGGACAATGGACTATCACCTAAAGTTGCAATGGCGGCGGCCAGACACCTGCGAAATCTGCAATATTTGGAACAGCAGTCCCAGGCCTGGGCGTAAGTAGTTAGTCGTAAGGCGTAGGTAAGCAAGTTACTTAACAACAAAATGATATGTTAGCGTGTATCTGCGAGGATGTACCGTGAATTGAACCCTTGACCCTTGAACTGACAGCGCAATGCTGACGCAAGCCGTGTAAAACCTGTTCTTCAAGTTCTTAAAGCTAAAATACGGAGACCTGTACCCGTGACGACAAGGGGTTTTAGAAACATTTTCGGAGCAGAAAGTCCCCATGTTGCGGGTGTGTGAGAAACTCCGTGAGGCGGACGAGAAGGGCAGGAGGTACGGACTAGCCCGTGCGGAGACAGGCTACCTCCGTGCCCTGGTGGACGCCATGGCCGACACGGACAGGCTGGCGGAAGTGGAGATGCTGAAAACTCTGGGCGACGTGAACGTGGAGAAGGGAAGACTCGGGAAGGACGTGGGGAAGTTCAACACAGCCTTGGCGCTTTACATTGCTGCTATGGTACGGTGTTACCATGAAGAACAGGCAGATGGTATAGAACACCGCTACCACTACACGGAGAGGCTTTTACAAGGGGTGTCGTCACAGGGTAAGAAACAGCCAACTGAAGACAAGGAGACCACTACACCTGCAAAGGTAGCGGCAAAGTTCCAAGCATTGGACAAGAGACGGGCTACCGGAGGGAACACAGACTCTTTGCTGGTCAGTGGATACGCAAAGCTGATGGTAGAGGCGATAGTAAAAGACGACAGCGTGTTAGAAACAGAAGCGATCAAGAGTCTGGGTGACGTGTACCTGAAAAGAGGAACAGAAACTGGAGACACTAGAAACTTAACTAGAGCTACTGCTCTGTACAACAGGGCACTGGCGCGGTGTCACAACGTTCATGGAACAGTTGTCATTGTTCACCGCTTACTGCACACCGCAAAAATCAGGCAATATATCACCAACACAAGAGACAAGGTGAGTGAAATGCTTGTATGTTGATTTGAGCATTATGGAACTTGCCATTGCTGACTAGACTTCTGGTTTCGCCTCTGCCTGTTTATCTCCATACACCCCCTGAGGCAAAACAGATTATCGTGTCCTTTAATTAAGCTCAAATGCTTTTTCGCTACGATACCAGCTAGAGTTTATTAACTTTCTTGCTGAATTCCCCGAACAAAGTAATGGGCGGAGTCTGTACGGAATCTTTGAAAACAAAATGTTGAAGACGTTTTCAATATTATTTTTTTATGTCAAAGGTATTTATATTGTTTTTGAAAGGTGTGTGTGCGTGTGTGTATTTGTGTGTGTGTGTGTGTGTGTGTGTGTGCGCGCGCGTGTGTGTGTGTATGTGTGGTGTGTGCGTGTATGTATGTATGTATGTATGTTTGTGTGTGTGTGTGTGTGTGTGTGTGTGTGTGTGTGAGTGTGTATATGTTCGTGTGTGTGTGTGTATGTGTGTGTGTGTCCGTGTATGTGTGTGTGTGTGTGTGTGTGTGTGTATATGTGTGTGTGCATCTTGGCAGAAGGATGGAATGTGTCTTACTTCTAGCCTCCTGTGCAGGCCCCGCGGCGGTGGGGAAGAGTTTTAACGCGTTATTTTAGTATAGACAGCCATCCTACATAGCCGCCGAGAGAAAGGTTGCTTTTCCGCCCACGGGGCCTGATCCCATTCGGCAGAAAAAGGGAAATTAACTAGAAAGGCCAATATTTGCTTTGGAGCAAATACAGCGATGGGTTCACCACATTTTACGACGTCATGGCAGGGAAAGAATGAGAAACACAAGGGAAAACAATGATTTACATTGATATAATATGAAGTAACATACAACTAAAACAACAGTTGGATAGCTATTCCCTACTTTATTGGTTAGGATTTTTAATTGCATAATGCAAACTGTTGATTTTCAAAATAAATAAAAAAACGTTCATGCCCCGCATTCCAATGCTGGAGCAGAAAAGCTTGAAATACCTACCAAAACACTTGAATAAAGACATACTGTCAGTATGGAAATCTCTGTGCAGGTGTTAATCAAGTTAAATCCCAACAGCCAATCAGCAAGAAATGCTCTGTGCAGGTGGAAATGCTCTGTGCTTGTGTTAATCAAGTTAAATCCCAACAGCCAATCAGCAAGAAGTATAGAGGAAAGCTGCATGCCTATTGGTTGATGCCCTGCATTCCATTGTGATGACTCATGCCCAGACGTGGTAAACACGGCACACTAACACAGTAATACATTTGCTATAATACAGCCAAAAAACTCAAATAAAACCATTCTAAAAGCCTGTATCACAATAATTTAAAAAACGCCTAGGGGTATTTGCCCACTGTACCTCCATACCAAATTTCAGGACCTTGGGCCCTAAAATGAAGAAGCTGAATCCATTTAAAAAATGGCAGGAGGAGAAGGAGGAGGAGAAGAAGAAGAAACACCAGAAAAAGCAATATGGTTTCACCACACCACCATAAAAATCACTTTAGACAAATTGGTATGGACTTGCGAAGTTTCCGCACCCCGGAGCGCCCTCCGCCAGCCGACAATGGCCGAGGCTCAGCGTTGTCACGCCCCCGTGGGCATGGCTGGACAACTTTCTAACGGTCAACGGGTTCTGTGTGTGTTTCAAAAAAGTACACAAAATCTTACCCTGTTACCTGTCTTGTCGATCGCCATGAACGCGAGGGAAAGAGGCGAGCTGGCGGCCAAAGACATCCGGGGATCTTCCCAATTGAGAGAGGGTCACATTTGCGATACTACCGGTAGCAATTTTTGCGATATCTCATATGCACCCCCCCCCCCCTCTTACGATCCACTTTCGTGCGCTGAAGACAAGAAGTGTACTACTCGATAATATCTCTGATGAATTTCAACAAGTTGAATGAGTAAACACCTATATACATGTACAAGTTTTGGATTTTTTGTTGTTTGACTGGCCTGCCTAACGCGCTCTCGCTGCCGCAGATAATTTGCGGACGGGTGTGAATTACTCGTCGCGGGCCTGTGAATTGCTCGTCGCGGGCATGTTAATGAGCCCTTTGAAAGACTTTTCTAATCCCCATTCCCTTTTTTCTTGCCGAATGGGAGCAGGCCCCGTTAGCGAAAAGCAACCTTCTCTCGGCGGCTATGTAGGGTGGCCGGTTATATTAAAATAATGCGTTAAAAACTCTTTCCCACCGCCGCGGGGCCTGCACAGGAGGCTATCTTACTTCGCCCTTGTAGTTAAATGATGCCCTAGTAACTCGTACAGAAGCCGATGTCTGTTCACCTTGCATGGACCATGTTAGGTCCTGTTTTTTTATTATTTATTTATTTATTTATTTATTTATTTATTTATTTATTTATTTATTTATTTATTTATTTATTTATTTATTTATTTATTTATTTATTTATTTATTTATTTATTTATTTATTTATTTATTTATTTATTTATTTATTTATTTATTTATTATTATAGAGTAATACGAACTCCTTATGTTTATTCACTTCATTTGCTTAATTTCCTGAACAAAATTATGGGATGACTTGTACAGAACCATTGTTTTTTTCCTTTTAACCGTCATAGCCAGGGCAGCTCAACTAGTCAGTGGCTATTACAAAGGGCTGAGAAGGCATGACAAAACATTATAGCAACATATAAGGTGGCTTAACAATCAATGTCAGGTCGCTAACCTTCGACCAATGAAGTTCGAAGTTCATTTGTGGATTACAGTACCACTTGTTTATCATAAAGTGTTTCCTATCAGTTCTCGCAGAGGCCATCGCGTACGCAACGACAAAAAGACGTGAGAGGACGGAAAGGTCACTTCTCTGCCTTCTCAGCTGCGCCCTCTAACGACGGAACTAACTGTCAAGTTGAAGACGACATGTTAGTAACTCTATTTTTACTTGTCTAATGTAATATGTGTCATTCCCAGTCCAAGTAAATCTTGAATAGATATGGATGAATATAGGACCATTTGATATTTTGTATAGAAAAGTGGCATAATATTAAACCAGGTAAAATGTTTGGTTAAGGAACTCTTGCATTGATTTAAGTAACGTTAGTTGATAAATGTGAGGTAAGTAAATATGGAAAGACATATACTTTATGTCATTAAATGTTACTATGTGTAACATCGGTATAAAGCTGTAAAGATTTATGTAACAACACTAATGGGTGCTTTGCATACTGTTGCTTTATACAACACTTTTGTACTGCACTTGCCTTTGTGAAGTACGTTTGTTTTACAACCATGTTTATTTTCGTTGTTTAGCTCCTACCGCAGGTACATCCAGACGACAGACCGTGACGTGAGAAATGGAGACCTGGACGCAGCAGAGCAGAACCTAACAGCCGCCCTGAAGCTGGTTCATGGTCTGTTTTTTTTTTAGTTTTCAATCCATTTTCGTATGAAAGGTCTAAAATTCACAGTAGAAATACAATAAGTCAAAACTAATTTAATATATATTGAAAAAATCCGCATATCACTGTTTCTATCGATATCGTTTTACAAGTGACAATTTGATAATTTTTTAATTGACTGTCTCCATAACATAGATATCATTCATGAAAGTATCAATTTGACCCATCCCATATTTTTCCTAATTCTTTTTTCGTCCTACTTACAGATCGCAGTAAACCCAACAAGGCTAAAGAAGCCGACTGTCTGTGCAGGTTGGGTGACGTCTACGTCGAGCGAGGTAAGCGGACAGGAGAAGGTAGGAAATTCACAGAGGCGGCAGCTCTGTATAACGCCTCCATGGCCAGAACAGGTGGAGGCAAACAAAACATGGTAGCGAAACTGCAAGAAACAGAAAGTCAGTTTCTTAGAAACACATGTAACCTTGACTGTGAACCGTGTCCGTATAGCAGCACGTTAGATCACAGAAAGGAACTGGACAACTTGCGCGCCCGTGCAAAATCTAAGCTTGAAACAATTCATCAGGAACACAACCCTTATCAGTATGATGAAGACGATCCCGTCGTGAGAGAGGTAGAGATCAAACGAGCTGAAGCAATCAAGAACTTGTTCAAGAGCATCACAGTTAGAAGACAAGAGTTTATCCAAGTACTGACAGATGAATGCATCGCCAAACTCGGACCGCCTCCCTGTAAGTACACTTTCATCGGGTTGGGGTCACAGGCCACAGAACTGGTGACGCCGTACTCCGACCTGGAGTTTGCCATTCTGATTGAGGAGGGGAAGGATGATGATGATGATACACGAATGTACTTCCTAAATCTCACACACTACTTACATCTCAAAGTCATCAACCTTGGGGAAACCATCCTCCCAGCCATGGCCATCCCGTCACTTAACGACTTTCTCTCAGAAGACCCAGAGAAAGACTGGTTCTTTGACTCCGTCACACATCGCGGCTTCGCCTTCGACGGCTTTATGCCATGGGCTTCGAAGACTCCGTTTAGAAGAGACGAAACCAAAAGCAAACCTCCCGTTAGTCTCATCCAGACTCCAGCCAAGTTGGCCGAATATCAGCATCTGCACATCGCCCTGGCGGAAGGCTATCACCTGTCAGATATCCTCAGACGGGTGACCTACTTAACAGGAGACGAGTCTTTGGTGGAAGATTATGTGGAGAGAGTCAGCAAAAGTGTAGACTGTTCCCCTGCTCTGTCACTGTTGTCAGCAATGTTAATACTGAAAGAAAATGATCTTATTCGCGAAATCAAAAATGTGTTTCCTACGGCACAGCTTCTGGATGTGAAGAAGGAAATCTACCGTTTTCCCAGCGTGGCCGTTGATGTGTTGAGTATTTGCTGCGGTATCACGATCCCCAGTGTGTGGGGAATGATAGAAGAGTTACACATGACACAGCGAATCAGTGACGAAGATGCCCACCACTTGACTGTACTGATCAGCATCTCAGCGGAGCTACGGTTAAGAACGTACATTGCCAACGGAGGACAGAAGGACAGACTGTCTCCTCTCACGGAGATGAAAGTTCAACTCGACGAACATGATGTAGATGACACCTTCGTTGGGTCCGTTTTCCACATACCGGACTCTAAAATGTTGTTTAGGTACTACTATACAGCTATTCCGTTAAAAACATGCATTTCAGATACTGTCGCAAAGGAAAATACGACGACAAAGATATTCCCAACAGCCATCTTTGACACCTCATCTCAAATAAGGGGTCGAATATCACAACAGTTGTTGCAGTTTGACGCCTCGAAACGTTACTTTGAGACTGCACTTCAAGAGGCAAGCAGTGACGAGAAAAAGCAGTGTGGAATACTTTTTGAATTAGGCAATGTCTGTAGTAGTCGCGGTTACTATAAGGAAGCTATCAGCTACTACGAACGGGCACATAGCGTTGGAAATACTCTTCATCGCAAAATGTGTCCCGTATTTGTCTCATTACTTGAAAGCTTTGGAGCATGTTGGAGTGGCCTTGGCGATGAGAAGAAAGCTATCAGTTATCACGAACAGTCACTGAAGATGGCGAAAGCTATCTATGGCGAAACAACGACACATCCCATCATTGCCGCAGCACTAAACAATATTGGTAGATGTTGGAGTAAGCTTGGTGATCAATGGAAAGCTCTCAGTTATATGGAGCAGTCAGTAAAGATGAATACAGTTATCCATGGCGAAACAACGGAACACCCCGGCATTGCTTCATCACTAAACAACATCGGTGAATGTTGGAGTGAGCTTGGCGATCAGAGGAAAGCTATCAGTTATCTGAAACAGTCACTGAAGATGAGGAAAGCTATCTATGGCGAAACAACGGCGCATCCCGATATCTCATCATCACTAAACAACATTGGAAACTGTTGGCAGGACCTTGGCTATCCGAAAAAGGCTATCAGTTATCACGAACAGTCACTGAAGATGACGGAAATCATGTATGGTGAAACAACACCACACTCTCGACATTGCTTATCACTAAACAACATTGGAACTGTTGGACCGACATTGGTGATCATAGAAAAGCTATCGCTTATCACGAACAATCACTTAAGATGAAGAAAGCTATCTATGGCGAAACAGCACCACATCCTGACATTGCTTCATCACTAAACAATATTGGGAACTGTTGGCGGGACTTGAGTGATCGGAATAAAGCTATGAGTTATCACGAACAGTCACTGAATATGAGGAAAACTATCTATGGCGTAACACTCGGTTGGGTTAAGGCAGCCTATGGCCAACTATAATTAGTATTTCATACATATGGCTGTAACTTTTGATAGCTTGGTCGCATCACAACTTAACTTCACACAGTTCTAGTAGTACTTGAAACACATTGAATAAAGGTTATTTTGTTTTTACTACTTCTGAATTTTGGGTTAAAAATCAACATTTTGGTTAAAAAAAAGCTGTTTACTTCATGGCTTTACGCCCAAGCGGTAACAACACCTTTCATCATGATATTTTGCAAGTAGAAAGCCAACCCCCCTATTTATTATTTTTGTCCGAGGCTATTTTGTTTTAAATGACAGTTACATTGTTTTTTTTGGGCCAAAAACGTACAGAAACGGCTATTTTTCTGTCATTTTTTGTTAAATAATCGCCACAGTTAAAAAATTTCGACTTATATGCAAAATAGCCTCGGACAATTTTGATAAAAAAGTGATAATACGTAAACATGGATTACTCTAAAGATGAATTATGTTGTTTTCAGCTGGGCGTAAAGCCGTTTAAGTCATACTCCGTGAATAAAATGCGTAACAACGCGGGTTTACAGGGGAAACATACAAATGACCGCCGGTAACCCCGAATTCGAACACACGTTCTATTCGAATGACGTCATATCGAACATGGTGGAACATGATTCGGGTTCGAAACATGTTTGTGGCAATCGTGCAGACACACGGCGGAACTCGAACATGAATATCAGCCTAGGCCGCCTTAACCCAACCGAGCAACGCCTCATCCCGATATTGCTGGATCATTAAACAACATTGGGGGATGTTGGAGTGACCTTGGTGATTGGAGGAAAGCTATACGGTTATTACGAACAGTCACTGAAGATGTGGAAAGCTATCTATGGCAGCACAACGCAACATCCCAACATTGCATCATCACTACACAACATCGGGGCATGTTGGAGTGACCTTGGTGAACAGAGGAAAGCTATCCAGTATCACGAACAATCACTGAAGATGAGGAAAGCTATCTATGGCGAAACAGCGCAACATCCTGACATTGCTTCCTCACTGAACAGCATTGGGAACTGTTGGAGTGACCTTGGAGATCAGAGGAAAGCTATCAGTTATTACGAACAGTCACTGAAGATGAAAAAAACTATCTACGGCAAATCAACGCCACATCCCAAAATTGCTTCATCACTAAACAACATTGGGAACTGCTGGCAGGACCTTGGCGATCAGAGAAAATCTCTCAGTTATTACGAACAGTCACTGGAGATGTGGAAAGTTGTGTATGGTGAAACCTCAGCGAATCCCGACATTGCTTCAACATTGAACAACATTGTGTCATGTTGGAGTCAACTTGGTGATCAGAGAAAAGCGTATCACGACGAGTTAGTGAAGATGGAGAAAGCTATCTATGACGAAACACCCCCAAATCCCGACGTTGCTTCATCACTAAACTACATCGGGGCATGTTGGAGTCAGCTTGGTGATCAGAGGAAAGCTATCAGTTGTTACAATAAGTTACTGAAGATGACGAAAGCTATCTTTGGGGAAAACACAATAGATCCTGTAATTGCTACATCACTTAATAATATCGGTAAATCTTGGGAAATTTTTGGTGATCACAGAAAAGCCATGATGTATTACGAACAGTCACTGCAAATGATGAAAGTTATTTACAGGGACAATACGTCTCATCGCAACATGGCAACAGTTCTTAACAACATTCGATTATGTGCAAGTGCCTTCCGTGATTAGAGTAAAGCCATTAGTTATGATAAATCGGTACCCAACATCAGTTTTTTTTTATTCACATATATTTATTGAGTATTGGGCAAAAAGCAAAAGTTGCTTATATAACACCTTCTACCCAAAAACATACAACGAGTATAAAACACATTGACAAGATACATGCATAAAACCAAGATAAATACAAGCAAGACAAGTTGGTGATCTATCAATTACAAGAATCTACCTGTACAGTAAATGAAGTTTTGAACTACCTCAAAAACATTACAGTTTTGTAGGTGTGAGAGTGATGTGGACCATCGATATAGTAACGAACATAGGGAAATGTCATTGAGATGCTGTAGCTCTAACTATGTTGGAGAGAGATGATAACAGAGTACTTCTTTGACTGGAATAAAGTTTACAATGTAGAAAGTAGTGTTCAGTTGTTTCACTATGATAGCCACATTTACATGTAGGGCAGTCAATACAATAATGTTGAAATAGATGGAAGTGTAACTGACTGAAATTTAGACGGAGCCTTGTGTGATGGACAGCGGAGTGTCTTTGGCCATGGCAGAAATTGAAATGTTTTGTCGGTCTGTTGAATAGTGAATACAAGGTACGGGAGACGACGATATATTTGTAACCGTCCGGCAGTTTTATAACATTTACAGTCATCTATTTACAATACATAGATTATGTTGAATAAAGAAAAGTTTTCTCACAAATGGCTAACCATTCACCCTATTTTTGCGACATTTGACTATCCATAACCTTTTAGGCAGGCGTAGTGTAAGGTACTATTTTTTCAACATTCTACTATCCATAACCGTTAGGCAGGCCTGTTGGAGGCTAACAATTTCCCGATATTCTACCATCCATAACCCCTCAGGCAGGCCTGGTGGTGGCTCCTATGTTTGCCGATATTCTACTATCCCCTTAGGCAGGGCTGGTGGAGGCTACTATTTCCGCATATATTCTACTATCCATAACGCCTCAGAGAGGCCTGGTGGAGGCTACCGATTTACCGATATTCTACTACAGATAGTCTCGTAGGCAGGCCTGATGGAGGCTACAATTTTTGCCAATATTCTACTATCCATGACCCCTCAGAGAGGCCTGGTGGAGACTACCAATTTCACCTATATTCTAACCCCTTAGGCAGGCCTGGTTAGAGGCTAACCGACCTGAAAGCCGTTGCCAGAAGAGACCAACACGTCACGTGTGCACGAGGCACAGCTGTTTAACCAGACCCACATCCGGGTCTCCACATCCACACGTTTCCCAGCTTTCTCCGGACCCGCACAACTGGTGACGGAGTTTTGCTGTCGGCATGTTATTTGCCGTTGTGTTTAGTAAACCCCTGTCTGTGACAAACTGTGGCCACGTTACGTTCCTCTGTTCCTCACCTGTAACTCTACAGACTTGCTCATGACCAGTGCAGCTCTCATGTCCAGGTGGTACGACTACTATTAGTAGTACTATTATATAAAAGACTGTAATTATAGCATTATGCAAATTAAGTCCTTATTTGCATAATTTACATCTAATTATGTACAACTCTCTCCCAGCTACCTACTCACCAAAATTGATGAAAATGCGTTGTTCCTATCTGGAGTTATTGGCTTTTAAAGGTTTCGCCAAAAAGTCACCTGCAGTTCCAGAACAATCTGCTAGGAGGACCAAATTCACACCACTTATTTCTGACAGGAAAAGCTATCTGTCACCAAAAAGTCAAGACCATAGCATGTTCAGGACAAAAGATACCAAAAACCGGAAGTTCTGCTGCAGTACCAAGGTCATCCACCAGGAGGCCCATATTTGCCTTGACCTTTGTCTTGCCAAGACGTACCAGCATACCAAATATCATCACAATCCATAAAGGCGTTATGAAGTTATGCTGACCACGTAGTTGCGGAAACACACACAGACAGACACACACACACACAGACACACACACAGACAGACATACAGACAGACACGCCAAAAACAATACCTCCATTTTTCATGGAGGTAATAACAGCAGTAACTGGTAATAACAAGTTAGATAGACAAGCTGCTGTTCAACTGGATGCCGCTAGGAGATCACAAAAGAACCAACAGAGCACTACATAACAGGCAGCCATAAATAAAAAGATATATGAGTAGAACACAAAAAATTATGTTTAAAAAAATGCAAAAGTATACAAAATGTGATTATCAAAAACGAACAGCCTAAAGCTCTGATATAGGGTCAAAAACTGTAACAAAACCGTAAAAAAATCCCTCTAGTATAGCTTTAATTCCAGAATGGCAAGAGAACATGCACAGACCAGCTCCACTGCTTACATGCTTCAATTTTAAAATAAACATTTACACCTCTCAGTTATCTACCAAATGAAGAAATGAAGGGAAATGCCTTTCCTCTTAAGTTAAAGCTTACCCCATCCACCCTTCTGCCTCAACTGCTGGGTCGGTCCCACCTTGCTTCTTCGGGGTTGCGGATGTCTCCGAATGAAAGGGCAGAATGGAGTGCGCGCGCGCCTTATAAGGGGTTGGTTGGTGACGTCATTTCGGATGACCAATCACAGTGCAGTGAAGATAATGAAAAAAATGTCACCCATAACCCGTCACACTGCGCTGAGCAGAGTATTTACATGGCCTTGAAAACTCCACCCTCTTCAGTATCACCCTCAAGCTTCTCACTGATAGACCCTCTCACATATACTACTTGTTCTAAATTGTTCATATCATTGTTCATATCTGATCTCCGGTTTTGATATCGCGTGATCTGGACATGATAGAAGCACGAACTTGGGTTGTAAATAAGACAACACCCATTTAATTTGTTTCTTCTCAGATTTTGTCAGAAAAAAATGGAGCGACAGGGGTACATGGGGCTTACATAACTCAAAATAAAAACAGGATTATGCCACCGTCTGACCGTTTCAAAAACATATCCAGTTGCTTGAGTAACTGTTTTTTTAGTAGGATTATGCTACTTTTTACCATATTGGTATTATGAATTGAATTCCTTCCATAAATCTATGTTGAATCACCCCGTCTTTCTTACGAATTTTCACACTTCTAACGCAATCCACGCCAGCCTGAACCTGGTTGAAGATTACCCACCAACATCATTGTTGGCGGGGAGCGGATCTTGGGGAGCGGACCAAAAGCTAACAAGGCAGGACACCGGGTCTACGTTTTTATTCAACTATAAAGACGACTACAAGGACAAGAAACTCCTCGCTATCTTCAAGTCTGTGCAGGAGAAGCAGAAGGAGCTGGAGAAGAGGGGAGGAGAAGCCTTAAAGAGGTTAAACTCCTTGGATGGAGACACTGAACTCCTTGAACTGTTCCTTCAGGAGTTTGACTTTAGTGCGCAGGTATGAACTCTACTGTACGAAAATTAACGTGCAAAAAGTAAAAAAAAAAAAAAACTATTGTTTTTGCCCCGCTTTCTTATCTTCAGTTCCGAATTAGGTATCTTTCATTTGTACATAATGTAATAATGTAAATTTCCTCTTTATGTCATATGTGTATTTTTAACTATGTCATCTGTTGTTTGTATTGTATGATCTTTGTATGAACCCTGGAAGACTAGCCAGTTTTGGCTAAAGGGTATCGTAATAAAGGAATAAAGGAAACAAATTTCAATGACCTGGATTAGACGGCTGTCACCATGGTAACTAAAGTTGTAGCGGAATAACTTACATTAAATATCGAGAGACATAACAGAGTTGTGGGGCTTGTTACCATATATATGAAGATGTTTGGCTAAGCATAAACAGAACAGTACTTTGTAGGCTATATCGCGTGTGTTCGAAATGTTACAGTTCTGGTTAAGTTTTATTTGTTTTCTGGTTTCAGGACATGTTTGACCTCCTCCCCGTCACGACAAACTTGGACTCTTCCATCAAGATGGCGATCAACTCTGCGATTGGCCAGGCATGACGTCACGCAACCTACTGACGTCACGGAACCTACTGACGTCACGCAACCTACTGACGTTATGCAACCTACTGACGTCAGGCAACCTACTGACGTCATGCAACCTACTGACGTCACGCAAGCTACTGACGTCATGCAACCTATTGACGTCATGCAACCTGCTGAAGGCGGGACGGCCAAATAATAAGCAACGAACCAAGTGTTGGTGGCAACCTGATACAAAAACCAATAAGTGTGCAGAGAATGCCATGCCGATGCGGGTGACATGTCCCGGGCTTGAGACACTAAGACTTAGACACTATACCCAGTAAAACTCTCTTGTGTTGCTTTACAGTATATATAGTAGGACTATATCGAGTTGCTTTTGACTACATGTTGTTATGGTGTATTATGGTTGTTAAACGGTTTCTGTATGTAAATTTGTATAGCACAAACACTTAGTTTAATAGAAGTTGTCTTTGTTACTAATGATTAAGTAGTACTCAGTCTCTTAGTGTCACTGACGAGAGTTACAAAATGTAGTGGATGCTATCTGAAACGTCTGACCGTTTCCAAAATCATGTCCATCTTTTTGAGAAATTGCTTTTCGGCGTATGAAGTGTTTCGTTTATGCAAACAACCAAAACGGCCTCGGTTTTGAAATATGGCATTAGCATAACATGAGTAATTTCACCTGCACTTCACATGGCAGTCATTAGGTGGCGCTATATTGGGTTGTCTTTTCACCTGTTTGATCGAAGGTTGCACTAAGGAGAGAGCAACGTTTAAGTTTTGTGGTTCGAATAAAGTTTACCATGTTTTTTCTTCCTTTCTGGGGCATAAATGGTAGTTGTTTCTTATTTTCCAAGCTGGAGTTCAAACGTATTTTGGGCGTGTTCAATGAGTTTCACGGGGATTTTCTTTTTGTACCGGTCTCGTTTTTTCGACAGTCTACGGTGCCGCATCGGATACGACCTTGCCGATTTCATACTGCTTTGTCAATTTGATACTGTCTTTTAAACTTTCAGATTTGATACTGACTCGCTAGTTTGATACTGGCTTGTAGTCACCAAAAGATCTGCTCGGAGATAAGGTCTTGCTGTTTGCTATGAAAACTTTCAATATAATAAGTAATCAAAACAAAACAATTATAACTGAGACGGTGCGACTTTATTAATATGTATTGTGCAGGTATATTGGCAGTAAAACTACTGAAAGTTAACTATTTCTACAGAATTATACCAAAACGCAAATACCAAACGAAATATCAAGTGATGTGAAATTATTTTCTCGAAAAGAGTTGGGATTTTCAAGGTATGAGTGGTGTAAACATTACAATCTGCTCTTACGCAGCGTGCACATACTGTACAAAACTGGTAAAGGTGTTTTACCGCGTACAGGTTATAAGGTGTTGCAAACCGACGCAATTTGATCATTTTACAGATAAAAATCAATACTATTGGCTTAATTTTTTTTTCAAACCAAATGCTAGATAATAGCTAAAATAATATAACTATCTATAATAATATAACTAGTTAATAACAAGTGTTAGTGTAATACGTCGATGAAGGTTAGACATCCAGGTAATACGATACGCCAAAAAACAGTTACTCAAGCAACTGGATATGATTTTGAAAACGTCAGACGTTTCAGCTAGTATCCACTAGCTTTCGTCAGTGACTGAGAGACCAGAGGGGAAAGCAGGTGTTTAAGTACAACCTGTTTATTGATATGCAAATAAAGTGAAGACAAATTTTTGGAAGTCGAAAAAGGAACAAAAGTTAGACAAGTCAAGACAAAATGATGCAAATTAGTCTGACAGCTCCTGTTATACAGAACAGGAAGGGGGGCTACGAGTCGATCTTTCCGGCACTTGGGATTTGGCACTCCCAGCCCCGAGGACAGACAACACTTAAGCTCCTGTTCTGTATAACAGGAGCTGTCAGACTAATTTGCATCATTTTGTCTTGACTTGTCTAACTTTTGTTCCTTTTTCGACTTCCAAAAATTTGTCTTCACTTTATTTGCATATCAATAAACAGGTTGTACTTAAAAACCTGCTTTCCCCTCTGGTCTCTCAGTCACTGACGAAAGCTAGTGGATACTAGCTGAAACGTCTGACGTTTTCAAAATCATATCCAGTTGCTTGAGTAACTGTTTTTTGGCGTGTTAGTGTAATAGTCCAGGATATTAACCAATAACATGGTTTACAACAATAATATTAATTCTAAAAGACATTAACTATAGATATGGATCCATTTATTGTATGATCAACAAGTCTGCTATGTAAAAGTCCACTTTGAGGAGTCACTGTAAACAATTAAATGTTTTTGAAGGATAAATATTTTTTTTTAAATCTACATAACTACGATGTCTACTTTTTGCAAACTACTGAAATGTACAATATATTTCGTATCTTAGTATCATGATCTTAAGATGTAGTAAGTATTAATTTTGATTTAATGTATTTCTGAATGTACTAAGATATTGGATAGCGTAATATATGCTCGCGACTTTTGTACAAACCTCACAATTCAGCCGTAAGGTTGGTTTTGGTTTTCAATAAGCAATAAGCGTTTCTTACATTTCATAAATCTTTCTACAAATAATTCACTTGAATGTTTTGACAGTAATCAGATCTTTGTCAGAGAATCACAGAGGACAAACAAACGAACACAGGTATTGCAGTTCTTGTATGACGATGTCACTGGTAGGGTGGATGGCGTCCCCGTGCCATTGTTGTGCTGTTGTCATTTCCCAGGCATCTACCAGAACAACGTTCATCCCCTCAAACATCTCTCTCATCACCAAGTCCAGCTGATACGCCAGCCAGTCTCCTGCTAGAAGCTCGTTCCCCGTCCGTGTGTTGGCGGACTTGATGACCACGAGGGTCTGGGGACTCCTCTGATGCAGCCGTTGAATCGCAGCTCGGATGGCCTCCATCCTCTCTCTGTACATGTCCACAGGGTACGTGGTGAAGTGAGCCCAGACAGAGATTCCGACAATATCGTTTTGCCCTCCTTCGATTTCATCAATGACGTTGGCAACGTACTGTAGGTGGAAGGTCCGGGTCCATGCGCAACGAAGAGGCGGTCCGTGAGAACGATATTTTACCGTTATGTTGTTTACTGTGTCACGGGCAAGCAGAGGTCCAGTCTGGTGGATGGCGTCTGGAAGTGGCCTGTCGGAAAGTTTTAGTAGCTTCACCAAATGTTCGTACCACTGTCGTATGGTGGAGTCTCCCATGAAATGCAGGGTCTTTCCCCTCAGACATGTCCTCCATTCTGATTGGTTGGAGAAGTGTCTGTTATGACAGACTAGTGAGTTCCAGACGCCTCCTTTATAAAATCCGGAGATCTGTGGGGTTGGAAGTCCCGGCATGCACCGCGTGCGATTGACCAATGGGTTTAACCCTGTTTGAAAAAAAAGGATTATGTGCTGTCAGTGCTCATTGTCTTCATGCTAATAATATCATGTATTTCTGCATGTATTTACTTGTTTTCTGTATTCCTTTGTGATAGGACAATACACTTCGTCTACCCGTGGTTATCTAACAGTTTTACAGTTTGAATTACAACACTGCATGGTCTTTTGCAATTTCAAACGTTTGCCCACAACAAAAATATCTAATTGTAACTCATATATTTTTGTCGATTGTATTTAATAGTTATAATTGTACGATAGATTGGCTTTGTAATCTTGTTAATTCACTGTCACAATTGGTGGCATGTACAATAGTTAGGCAATTTAACTTAGAAAAACGTGGAATGCAGTTAGTCTTTGGACTTACCGCTTGTGACATAAATCTTTGATGGGGATCCAGATATGGACTTCTTTATTCCATTCAGCCCTCTTTAACAAGGATAAACACGTAAATGACATGATGTAATAATTTATTGACAGGTTGGAAGAACGCAGATTGTTCACAACAAGAACAAACACTTTTTGATTGGGCATGCTGCCATTAATTTAAAAAAATTAATATAGAGAAAAACTGAGCAAACCAGCGATTCATTTGGGCCAAAATGCAGGATTGCAAATCTTAATTTCTTTGATCACGAGAATCTACAAGAATCTAGATAAGTGGCGAGGTTCCTATGAGAGCTGGCACGAAAATTGAACAACAGAATTGACTTCAATATGCAGAGGTACAAACAGAAAGTCACACACAAGACATTTAAATATATCCAATTCACTTAAATCATTCTTGATGAGGAAATATGTCTGAGATTGACATTTATTTCTTAGCACACTTCTGTCATTATTTCATGCTGCTTCAAACGCTTTAATAGCGCCACAAGCTACCTCAGATAGCTAAAACCAGTGTAAGATATGAAGCAGCAAGCAACTGTCTGTATTCCGTCGTTAAAATCACGTTTTCTTCTCACAGGTGCTATGTGTCAGGATGATATTGATTAGGGTCCGTTCAACTTACGTATGCTACATAAAGAAATTACAAAACATTGACTTTAAAAATCAAGTACTGTAACTGCTCAAAAAAGTCTTTTGGTGCCTTTAAAAAATCCTTGCGTTTTTTTTTAATGTTACTCTATGTCATCCTTGCAGAGAAATGATAAAATACATGCCTGCCAAACAGTTTTTCCTCTCCTTTTCTTAGCAGCTTGACAGACGTTGGAAGCCTGCCGTGGTACCCGGATGTGTTACAGGAGATGTTGGCGGCTTTCTCACAGTACCACCTGACTCCTGCCTGCGGGTCGGAGTAGTTACACACCGGGGTGTGGGTGTTCAACACGGCCGGGTCTACGTTACACCTGGTGTCGACTTTAGCCTTACCGATGAGGTACCGTTTCACGAACATTATCTTATCTACAGGATGCTCCCAAACGGTTCTCTCTATGACTTCTATAGCCTGACGTGGGTGAACAAGTTTGACAATAATGTTCACCTCTCCTGCCCACAACAGTTTAAAGGTTGCCGTGTACGTACCATTTTTGTGGTCCGTGATAATTCCAACTGCACCAGACTTAGTTTTGAGATTAAAAATGGACGCCCGGAAATAGTCCCCTGTATTGGTTATTATGTTCCCTTGTTTGTTTCTAGCCGAAAAAACAACGCGTAACGTGTCTCCAACCGTGAAGTTTTTAGCGGAGTGAGACTGTAAAGAAAACTTCAGTTGTTTGAAGTACATAGCCGAATATTGGTGTATAGAAACGTTCGGTTTTTTGCCATGTATCTCCGGAAAAAGCTGTTTAACAGTAGCAGGTGGGTTTGGTATAGTGGTATTAGATTGTATGGGTCGGGGATGCGGTGTAATGATTCTAGAATGAATGGGATGGGGAACAGTGGTCCTAGATTGTAGGGGTTGGGGATGCGGTATAGGTTTTCTTGTGCGTATGGCAGGAGGGTTTGGTGAAGGTTTCCATGATCTATCCTGTATAATAAAATAAAGAATAATTTGTGATTTTATCAAAGTAACAGTGAATAAAAAACATTTAATGCGAACTGTCCGTGAGATGTGCAGAATTGCGTAACATCTTTTCTTCTGTGTGTATCAAATTTAGCACCGAAGAGTAACGTAGATTTGCCTCAGGCACGATTCTAGATACGCATGGGCTATCCAGAACCGTGTCTTCATGGTTCTGGATACAAGACGGTTCTGGATACAAAGACTCTGTACCAGCCGCTTTCTAATTTAATAAAAACGTGTTGCTGAGATTGTAAAAATAATATATCTTGTATTACATTACCCATGTGACGTATATAATATACCTGAACACCGTACATCAGCAAGCTCATAAAAACGAGCACCATGGTGATACCGAGGAAACATCTCACTCTCCTTTCCATCGGTTTCGATCCGCCAGGCATGTCTTCGAAGAGAAATAGAAGAAGAAGAAGAAGAACTTTATTGCGCAACAGATGTAGCGGGTACAACGTATGGCAAAATGATATATACATAGTTCGTGGTGTTAACATACGCATCTGGTGGTGTTGAGAATATCTAACAGTTCTGCTAACTATAATAGGAATCTGGTCTGTTTCATAAACAATGTATAACAAAAGAGAGACACTAATTATACTAATCTAACTCTATTAATACAATGTAGTAATAAATTGTGTCAGGAATTAATTACGTTTTCTCGTTTTGTCATGGAATTGTGTACAAATTGGCCTACATAAGTGGAAATGTTGACGGGGCATGATAGTAACATATAGAATATCTCTGTCTTTGTATGGGGTAGTGTTACATTGGTCTTACTAAATAAATATGCAATATAAATTATATCAAAAAAGACTATTAACTGTTATTTTCAAATTGTTCAAATTTTTTATTCAGCCTTTGCAAAAGAAACCATAGTGTTTTTGCTCAGTTTCTTCCTCTTCTTCTTCTCCTCCAATTAAACATTTAGCAAGCAATTAAACATTTATACACTGAACCTTCGTCATTTTGTCCGAAATAGATGTCAATAAATTATTTCATGAGAAAAAAGGGTAAAGAAAATTGCCAAATTCGGGTTTTAGAACCCGTTTTAAATTTTAGAATCACGGGAAGTAGAAGTTCATACAACTCCAGAGCTAAACCTGGAGGGGACAGAGCACTGAGACTCAGTCAGTGAGGAGAGGGACAGTGTGGAAGGACCAACTTGAAATAATATGGAAGATGATTTAATGAGAAGTATTCTATATATTAACATCTGAATGTAAAAGAAGAAATGAATGATGCAGCTTTGGCTGAGGAGGATGAACTGGACAAGCCGCTTGCGAGGACGAACTCATGACACTTTCCTTTAGCCAGTAAACACAGGCCAGTAGTTAGTGACCACCACCAGAAATATCACAGACACAGTTCTGGAAAATCAATGTTGCTATGTTTGGAGTTCAATGACATCGATTTCTATTCCTCAAATTGTTAAAACAACTTCTTAGTCGTTACTGTTTATTCACAATGAACTTCTGTATTTTTTTTATTGATTTTGGAAATAAGGGTATGATTTGCATGTTTTTTTTAAGCTATGGTCTTCGTAAATTAGATCACATTATTTGATGTGGAAAAGCCGATATTTTATATATAAATATCCATTGAAAAGATTTTAAATTCTTTATCAATCATGCAAATTACACCAACCTATTTGCATAATGATGTTAATTATGGTCTTATCTACACATGTCACAAGTATTGAATTCTTATTATGTACCAGAAATTGTAGCTTGGAACTCCCGGCCCCTGACTAAATATCATAACAACCCATCGAATCTGGTTATGATGACCACAAATATGCGGAAACACACTTAGAAAGACAGCCCCCCCCCCCACACACACAGGCAGACAGACCAAAACAATACCTCCATATTGCTTGGCAAAAAAATCTGCCTTTATTTCAAATCTTACGTGGTCATGAATGTTGAACAAATGACACGGAGTATGGTATGGCGAATCATCAACTCTTCAAATTTATTTCTTTACATTTTCGTCTTTTTTGTATTATTTTGGCATTCTGCGACATTGGTATCGTTTTCCAATATTTTTTTGTGCAGCTTACATTATATATTTGCTAATTTTGCAACAATTTTGTACGATTCATAGTATGGCTGAAAACTTTTTTTTTGGAAACGGCCGAAAATTCATGCGCGCGCGGATGTCATCCATATAATCAAATCAACATGGCCTTATGGGCATCCATCAAATATGACCTTAATTGAAGGGGGTGAGCCACACCTCACGGCACGTAAAAGAGCCCACCACACCTTTCGAAAAAGAGTAATTTGGCATACTTAGGTGTTCAATGGTCCAAATAATTCTACACTAGATTTTGGGACTCACTACAATTGTATGGGATTCTTATGTACCAGGCAGTTTCGCTTGAATCTCCCGACTCATTACCACATATATCATAACAACAATCGAAATCTGGTTGAGTTATGATGACCACATATATGCGGAAACACACTCAGAAAGACAGCCCCCCCCCCTACACACACACACAGGCAGACAGACCAAAACGATACCTGCATTTTGTCCAACGAACACTGCGAGGAGGGGCACCAAAAAGTTAAGAGTAGAATTAGAGTTTATATATACACATTCGTCGATCTAATAGCGTCAGAGCACGCACCATACGGGCACAGCTCTTTTCTGTTGATTTAATTTACCAGTTAAAAGCATGATCCTGTTGTCTATCTGAGGCTGAATATCCGTGTCGTTTGGATATGTTATTATCCAGTTGCTTCAGTAATAATCGTCTTGTGTATTTAATGACGAGTTTGTCTAACCTTCATCGACGTATCCAGAACAAATACGTTTTGGTCCGCACACGCCGGGATATATTCCTACTTTTATTAGTAGGTACTTGTGGTCGTGCGGCTCGGCTCGTAACCAAGAGGTCCCGAGTTCAAACCCTGTCATGCTACCGAACTTGTATCATTACGAAATACATTTTACCCGGCTTTCTTCACTTCAATTAGGCAAAATGAGTGTTTCCATATTGCCCGTTTATGGCATAAAAATAAGTTAAAAACTTGAGTGTGCCGTTACCGTGTCTTGTGATATATATGTTGGAATAAAAAAAAACTTTCTCGATGTGTGACTACCTCCCGATCGAAAATACGAAATGTAACTACTCATTTTCACATGAGTTGAGGAAAAAAATCGTTGAATTGTCTTTCCCAATTTTGTCAGGGATGACAACCCGGCATCACCCGATTTTGAGCATTTTGAAGATCCCTATCACTATAATATATCAACATGACTCTCCATATAAATTCAACTAACATATCATTCTGAAATTTAGCTGAAATTTATTCTCCTAATTTAGCACAAAAAAATGAAAGAGCATACTCAATAACCTCTGAGCACTGATTACATGTATGTCCCAGAACGTGGAAACATTCCGTGCTCTTGTTGAATTTCCACGCCAATAGAAATGCCAATAAAAGGAAAGTTTTTCGTCAATAAACCTTTTGTAGTATTTTTATGATAATTAAATGAGCCTCACAGTTCAGCTCCTCAGAATATGTCTTCCCATTAACGTGATGGGTGTGGACCCACATGTCATCTATAATTCAGCTTGCGTTAATTATGTTTACACGGTCCAAGGACATTATACAGATGTGTCCTTACAGGGTCATATCGTGTGAGACATGTCTAACATGACGTTGCCCATTGTCAGTACATAGCGACTCTCGCGAAAGGCACTCAACACGACTTTCTTCACTTCACTCAAGTGGAAATAAGTACCTATCTTCGGTTAGGGGCATCCATCGAATAGGACGTTAAATGAAGGGGGTGAGCCACACCTCACAGCACGTAAAAGAACCCACCACACCTTTCGTAAAATTGTATGACCATGCCAAGGTACTCACTACATACAAAACACACGGATGCGATCCTTCAGCACGGATAGCTGTGTTTTGGGGCACTGTTTTTGGTATGCTACGCTTTAAAATGCTGGAGGTAGAGTTTTCAATGTCTTCATTGTCAAATAATCTTTATTCACAGTTAGCTGTAGTGTTTCACAGTAAGGGAGGCATTTTTATATGCAAAACTAAGTCAACATGGAGATAAAACCTTTCATTTTCTAATGGAATTAACTGGAAACAGCATTTGGTGGTAGAGCGAGGCCGAGGGTCACAACCTGCCGTACGTGCAACTGCATGCTGTCTAGGTGAAAAAAGACCCCCCCCCCACACACACAAATTACCTACCTACCCAGTACCTAGCTACCCTCACCACAAACAATACGCTACATATCCAGTACTTCCTATAATAATAAACCATGGCAGGACACAAATATTTGACCGCAAATGCAGGTTTATTCAGACTAATTAAAAATGACAAAACTATCTCTTAATTTAAGCATGCTTAATCTAATTCATAAATGTTAAGGGAAAACGTGGCTATTATGTTGTTATGGGTTTCAAAAAATGCTAATATTGGTGAATGGTGATTACTATATATATGTACTACCAGGGCTCGAAATACCCATGTGCAATGTGCAAAATGCACATGATTTTCAAGATTTGCACTTAAGAATATTTTGAATGTGCAATTTTGCACCTGGAGCAGGAAGGGGAGAGGGGCGTTGCAGGAAAAGAAGCAAAAATTAATTGGGATGTGACGCCCCCAGCCCCTAGGACTGACAACACTTGTGAAACAACAGGAGCTTCTTGACTAATTTGCATCATCCTCTTTTTGCCAATGTGCAATAAACATTGTCTTCACTTATATGCATATCAATCAATAGTTCTTGCTTATTAACCCGCCATTCTCCTGCAGTCTCTTAGTGTCACTGACGGTAGTGGATGCTACCTGAAACATCTGATCGTTTCCAAAATAATATACAATTAAGTAACTGTTTTTAGCGTACCTTATTACCTGGATGTCTGACCTTTTTTTAAATTGCACTTACAATTTTTGTCCATGTGCAATTTTGCACATACGTTCTTTAACATCTGAATTTTTTAATAAGAAAAGAATGAAGCAGCTCTGACTGAGGAGGAGGAACTAGACTCACAGCTTGTGGGGACTACATGTACCTCGTGGCACTTTCCGTTAGCCAGTAAACACAGGCCAGGAGTTCGTGTCCACCACCAGACAGGTTAATTGAAATATCACAGTTCTGTAAAATCACTGTTGCTGTGTTTGGAGTTCAGTGACATCGATTTCTGTTCCCCAAAGGGTTAGCCAAACAACTTGTCAGTCGTTGTGGTTATTCACAATGAACTTTTGTATTTTTTATTGATTATGGAAATAAGGGTATGATTTGCATGTATTTTAAGTTATGGTTTTCGTAAATCAGATCACATTTTTTTAATGTGAAAAGCTCCATATTTTATGTAGAAGAAATCCATTCAAAAGATACAAATTCTTTCTGAACTAGAAAGGCCAACATTTGCTTCGGAGCCAATGTAGGAATTTCACTCATTACCCTTCCCTAAACAAAAATGAAAGATTCTAAATAAGCCATACTGGAATGATACTGCAATTATCTAATTGAGATCAAGGATACAAGGACAAGCAAACTTTTAATCTCGACAGCTTTATTCACAAAATTAGCACTTGACAATTGTCTCCCATTTATTTTACAAAGATCGATACACACAGCTTTACTTTACACTTATATATTGCAGGCATCTAAATACAACTACTAATAATGACAAGATTGTAACTACTCTGAAGCTCTAATTGCACAGAATTGGAGACTATACCGACATGATCTATATATACTTTGAAACCATACATTCAAACATATTGAATGAATAAACTACACACGACTTACAAATACAAGTGTGGCGTCGTGTGGTGTAGCGGTACATCACTGGACTACGAAGCGGGGAGACCCGGGTTCGATTCCGGGTCGTACCCGAAAAAGTCCGAACATGCGCCCCGACGTTGTACCCTTGGGAAAGGTACTTTACACGACTTTCCTCACTTCACTCAGGTGAAAATGAGTACCTAGCTTTGGCTAGGGACGTCCCTCGGATAGGACGTAAAATGGAGGTCCCGTGTTTGGGAGAGTCACACCCCACGCACGTTAAAGAACCCACCGCACTTATCGAAAAGAGTAGGGGACCTTCCCGGTGTGAGTGGTTCAAACCTTACAGCCTGGTCTCGGGGTTGACATGTTTGAAAAGGTGGTAGTCACCTGCTATGTCAATCCTTCCACAAATGTGGTAAATCTTTATAAATAAATAAATATAAATAAATAAATACTAGGAACCTGTACTTAGGCCACACCATTTTAATGTGTTGGTTCTCGGATTCGCCTCTTCATTATTTTGATTTGCAAAAAAAAAAAAGATTCTGGTTCTAAATCAACTTAAAAATGCTCAATGCCCCCAACAGTTGAGGAAAGTTCTTTTCTTCCTAGTTGTTACAGCTTTTCCATCTATATGAATTCAGTGGTTTGATGAAAAGTTAAAAATTCAATGTTTGAATTTTAACCCAGCCTTCTGTGTTGACTTAATGGCTCCTATCCTAGCATTGACTCTACCTCTGCTTGCTTGTCATCCTGCTGGCTGGGTTGCTTCTCCGTTTTCTGCTCTTCCTTCCATGCACTCAACCTCTCAGTCAATTTTTTCTTCTTACGTCTAGGCATTTCTGAAACGTTTAAAATACCAGAAATTACAGGTATGTGTTGATTCTGCTGACTAGAGATACTTTTACCTTATAAAAAATGTAGGAATACATACAGTTATGAAGTGAATAAAATTCAGGAGCCATGCACAAGTTTGTAAGATTTTTATTACGACCACAAAGTAAAGAAAGCACACCATCAGATTTACGAGATTTTTTATCACCACCTCAAAATTCAGTCAAGAAAGTTCAAATAAAGTTACATAATCCGTGAACCGGCAAACGAAATCCCCACATTTACAACTATAAAGTTGTGTTGAACCCATATTAATAGCCAAAATTTCTGCTACATTTCTCCGTTTCCCTAGCAAGTGATCGCCCCCCTCCCCCATATCGTCCAAAAACAAAGAAAAACACTGGTCAAAATCCTCTATAATCAGTAAACCGACAAACCGAAGGCACTCGTTTACAACCACAATGTTGAGTTTAAGCCATTTTCATGTAATCACTTACCGCAAATAAGGTATTACCCCGGTACTACAGCCGTCAACTTCAACATTTAGAACGACGAACAAACCGGATGTTACAGTTCGCGCGAGGAATGGTGGGATTTTTCTTGGGGCCTGTATGCCGTTTTCGTAAGGCGTAATCAGGCCTTTTCAGCTTCATAATACGTAGACAACCTCCCAAAAATCAACGTAATCCGTAACAGAACAGTAGCTGCAAAGCGTAAAGTAGTTATAAGGTCTGAGACTTTAACGTAATTCGTAATATTGGCGGCGAAAATTTTGCATAATCCGTAATCACTATCCCCCATGCATGCCCTCTTCACTATACTTCTTGTGTCTTGTTTTTGTTGGGCGCCCGCGCTAATTAATGTCCTTATTACAACGTATTACAGCACCCACATATCCCTACGTGCACAAACAATGGTCTATAGGAGGAACTCTGACTATCCACTTCTTACCTGATGATATTTCCTGCTATTTGACGCACAATATACTGCCAGTCACTGGCGAGAACCTGACGCTGGCAGCAGAAGTCGTCTGCAGACGACCGACCGTAAAAATGATCACGTGACGCCTATGACCAATCAGCGTCAGCGGAAGAAATTCGCGGGAGATTCGAAAAGCGTTCTATGATTGGTCTGCGTCAGGTTGATGCTTTTATGCCCATATTTGGGCATGCCTCTGAATTCCTTTCTTATTACGTCACGCGCGTACGCCCCTACAGTACTTTCCTATGGGGACCACTAAAAAGCAAATAAAACGATTGTAAAAGCTTGTATCAAAAAAATTTAAAAAACGCCTAAGGGTATTTACCCACTCTACCTCTATACGAAATTACAGGTAATTTCGCCCAAAAATGAAGGAGTTGAATCAATTTAAAGAAGTGGCAGGAGAAGAAGGAGAAGAAACATCAGAAAAAGCAGTATTTCACTCCATACTGAAGTATGGAGTGAAATAAAAACAACAGAGAACTGCAAATGGGTGGAAATAGGTCAATAAATGGTAACTTAAAGGTAGAGCATGCTTTGTAGGCTATGTACGAGTTGATCTAATACAAAATGATTGCCAAAATGTTACAGTTTGTATCTGAGTGTAAATCAGGTGATCCTCTAAGTGAAATGTTACATAAGAATTGTTCAGACATGTTATGAACATCAAAGATAGAGCCTACCAAGTTCTATAGATTGCTGAGTAGGGTGACTCTTTGCTGATTGTATACTGGGCAGTGTAACAGAAATGTATGGCGCTCTCACAACGAGACCCGCAGATACAAGCTGCACTAGGGGCTAAATTCCTTAAAAAATAAACTGTGGTTAAGACTACAGGTCCCGATGCGAAGACTTATTATGTTAGGTATTCAGTAATTTATTTTTGTATTAATTTAAATTTTATTTACTTATTTATTGTGTTCCTAGACCGACAGGGCATTTCCAGTATAAATAAAGTGTATTGATTGATTGATTGATTGATTGAAGACGCGTGATATATGAGGAGGGTGCAGGTGTACCTGGGGCCATGGCTATAATATGGGTAAGGGGGGGGGGATACTGACTTAACTAACTTCGTACTTTATAATACAATTATGAAGTATAAGGGGGGGGGTTCGGGAGGATTAGCTACAATGTTGATCTATCTAAAGGGTCCGA